GGACAAGGTGGAGAAGGTTTGCAAGGAATCTGCAAGTCCCTTCCGCTACAGGATGGAGTGTGCTGAGATGGACTGTGAGGAAGGCTGGGCCTTGCTGAAGTGTGGAAAACAATATTATAATCGAGCCCTGGCCTGCTTTGAAAAGGCTCTGAAAGAGGAGCCTGACAACCCTGAGTTCAACACTGGCTATGCAGTCGTAGCCTATCGCCTGGATCACAATGAGGGCACTTCTCTAGAACCTTTAAGGAAGGCTGTCAGCTTAAAACCAGAAGATCCATACACTAAAGTTCTCCTTGCCTTAAAGCTTCAAGATTTAGGCAAAGCTGATGAAGCAGAACAATACATTGAAGGAACTCTGCCAAGAATATCCCAGACCTATGTCTTTGGATATGTAGCCAAATTTTACCGAAGGAAAGGTTTTGTGGAAGAAGCTCTCAAGTTCCTTGCAAAAGCCTTGCAGAAAAATCCTTCCTCCACCTACTTGCATTTCCAGATTGGTCTTTGCCATAAGAAACGACTGATTCAAATAAAGGAAGCTACAAACATGAATCCTAAAGGGGAAGATAGAGAAAGAGCAGACCAATCCATCCGTTTGGCTATATGTCATTTTAAAAAGACTTTAAAACTGAAAGCAACATATGAGATAGCTTATGTTAATCTGGCCGAAATGTACTCAGAGATTGGTCAACTTGAAGAGGCTGAGGAAAATTTTCAGAAAGTGTTGAGCATGAGTAACTTGGAAGATCATATGCAGCAAGAGATCCATTTGCGCTATGGTCTCTTCCAACAATTCCATATCAAATCAGAAGACACAGCCATCACCCATTACTTAAAAGGCCTGAAAATAGAGGCGACTTCTCACTCCAGGCATAAACTTCTCAAGGCTTTGGAGAAGCTGGCTACAAAACGCATTCACCAGAATGTTCATGTCCTGGAAAGCTGGAGCCTCCTTGGGTTTGTCTACAGACTGAAAGGGGACACAAGTGGAGCCATGTCATGCTATGAGAAGGCCCTGAGGCTCACAGGAGCACTGAACCCAGAGTTTTGAGTTATGCATCATTAAGTGGCTTATTAAGTGTGGACATGACTCCCTATTTCTAACATTACTGAGGAAAAGCAGCTCAAGCTACTTCTGCTCCCCCAGAATGAAGTGGTATAGACTTCTGGCCAGCATAATCTAGAGGGTCCTGCTCAGACCTACTTAGATTGGTGGCTCTAGATGCAGCCAGAGAACACAACAAAGTCATTTGTTCAGGCTAGCCATTAAATTTCTGGGCAGGTCAGCTTTCTGGTCAACCATATTCAGAACTAATACTGATCTTCTTAGAGGCCCATTCTCTATGGAGGAATAAGCTAATGTAGTTGGAGGTACATGCCTTTCATTCTTTGCAATTCCCACCTGGACTTTGCTAAACATTTGTAACTCTTGGAGCTGAGGACAGGGAAGATTGTCTTTTTTTTTCTTAGCTTTCACAGTAGCTAATAGCATCTGCCTTCCCTCTGCCATCAGTACTTCTATCATTCCCTGATGTATATTTGTCAGGAATGTTAGCCCTTCCTCTTAGTTTTCTTGGAGGCTCTTCCAATGACAAGTGTAGTTTCAGCTTTAAAAAAATCACATTTGGTATGATTACTTTTTACTTACAGTAAAATGCACTTATTTTACTCAACAATTGTCTGAGCCCATGTACACTCCTTATAGGTTATTTCTGACATCCCTAAGTTCCCCGCGTGCGTCTTCATCCTCTATCCTTACCATCTCTAGGTAACCATTGTTCTGCTTCCATGGCTACAAATTAGGCAGACTTTTTGAGAGAGTATAGGTATTTTGAGAGAGTATAGTTTTTTTTGCTTGCCCTGCAGCCTTAAACACTAGAAAAAAAAATAAAGTTTGAACTTTGAGATTCTGTTGTGTATGAGAAATCAAAAAGAAAACCCAAAAGAGCAAAATCCCTGCTCATCTGTAAGAATTCTTTCTTTTACTTTATTTGTGAAGTGATCACATATTTCAGCAACATGAACTGAGCTGGTAGTACTGATTCCAACTGACATACTACAGACTGGAGTAGAAATGATTGCTTTGGAAAAGCACACACACAAAAACACACACACACCACATACACACACAATCACACAGACACAAATACACAGAGAGACACACATACAGAGACAGACACAGACATACTCACACAGACACACAAATACACACTCACATAAAGAGACAAACACATACACATAAAGATACAAGCACACATAAAGAGACAAACACACAGAGTCCAGCTTCCAGTGTCTTGATCCCTTTGAATAAAACAACAGAAAAACCCAGAAAGTGTTATTCTAGTACTAGCTTTAGTCAAACTTTGTGCTTGAGTGGATCTAACTGTGTCTATAAATCTTCTCCAGGGCCATCCAGTGAGCAGTTTTAAAAACTGGAGGAATCTACACATACACACAGACAAATAATAAACTCAATAAAAGTCATGCTAATTCAGCTGTGTTGAATCTACAAGCAACCAGACAACTTGAGACACTTCTGTGCAGTGAGCAGCTCAGTTTATCCTTTAAGGTGGAGAACCAGAGATTGCACTGACCTCATGATGGCGATCTGTTTCTGTGCTGAAGTGACAAGCTGGGTGTGGGCTGAGCAGTTCAGAAATCTCAGTCCACTGTAGGTGGACACTCAGGGGATTATATAAGGGTCAGTGGGGGGAGAGATGCATCAGCTGATGCTATACTGAGGACTCACGTTTGT